TAGATAGCACCAAGCAGGTGTCGGACTCGCAGCAGTTGGCGTGGGACGTACTGGAACAGCTCCACGTCACCGAGCTCTGCGTCGACGGTCAGGGCCAAGGACTAGATGGCACTACCCACGAGTCGGCCTCGCAGCAGCTGGCGTGGGACACCCTGGAACAACGCCACCTCCCCGACCCGATTTCCAATTCGCAAAAGGTAGCATGGGACCTTCTCGATGCCTCTACACCAACACCCTCGGAGACCGGCTCCTGTGGAGAAGATGCACTGCCACGTGAAGCCAATGCTCCACGGCAAGACCGACAACCAACGGCACAAGAGGTCGCCCTCCTAGCGAGCCTGAGCTCCTCGCAGCCCAATAGCAACAGCGAACCGGAACTCACAAATGCGCACGGTACAGCTAGTGGGCAGGGGGCTGCAACACTGCCAATCCCGCCAGCTGACCAACGACTCAGACTCGGTGAACTGAGCCCCGAGGACACAGGACAGGTCATAGCTGCAGCGTACGAGGAAATCGTACACTTCCGGCCTAACCTGTTCGCCATCCCATCGGGTGCACATGGCAGGTCAGTGGTGGACTTGAGCGCTCGCTACCTCAACACGTTTGGAACAAACGCGGCGGGAGAAGGCATAGCCTTGAAGGCACTTATGGTCTGCCACAGTCTTCTACTGCAACAACCGGTCAACTGCTTGACACGTAAGGTGCATGTGGAATGTCTGAACCGACGAATGCAGCTATGGAACGAGGGAAACATCGATGAACTCGTACGGGAAGCACGTACCATCCAGCGCCAACTAACCAAGGAACGTGGCGGGAAACGGGCCCAAAGTCCAGATGACGCGCGACGATTCGCTACCCTCATCACAAATGGTAAACTGGGCGCAGCTCTCCAGTCCCTGACAGCAACGCCCTCGGGTGGGCTGCTAAATCTGGACTCCTCCGCTGATGGTAAAACCGTGAGGCAAACGCTGAAAGAGAAGCACCCGCCGGCGGAACCCATGCATGCAGACGCCCTCATCATCGGCCCCTGCCCTGAACTGCCGCACCCGGTGCTGTTCGAAGCTCTGAACAGAGACATCATTCGGCAATCGGTGCTAAGGACAAATGGAGCAGCAGGCCCTTCCGGCATGGACTCTACCAGCTGGAAACGCTTGTGCACCTCATTCGGAGCGTCCTCCGACCAGCTATGTGATAGCATCGCCGCCTGCGCCAAGCGCATCGCCACCGGAATCATCAACCCAATTTCCCTCGAGTCATTCACGGCATGTCGCTTGGTGCCTCTGGATAAGAAGCCCGGGGTGCGCCCAATCGGCATATGTGAAGTCCTCAGAAGGATAGCAGGCAAAGCCATCCTCACCAAAATCGGAGAGCAGATCCAACAGGCGGTCGGGTCGCTTCAGCTGTGTGGCGGCCAAGAATGTGGTGTGGAAGCAGCAATCCACGCAATGCGGCACCTATGGAATGAGGAAGAGACCGAAGCAGTCCTCCTAGCAGACGCGAGCAATGCGTTCAACAGGCTGAACCGCAGTGTGTGCTTGCACAACATCCGTCACCTCTGTCCGGCCATCGCGGGTGCCGTCACCAACACCTACCGGCATCCCGCACGGCTGTTCGTCGATGGGGAGTGTCTTCTTTCTGAGGAGGGCACCACCCAGGGAGACCCGATGGCAATGCCCATGTATGCCATTGGGCTCCTCCCACTCATGCAGAAGGCGGCGAGCAGCTCAGCGGCAAAGCACATCTGGTTTGCGGATGATTCCACAGCAGCAGGCCGTATGCGTGCGCTGCGTGTATGGTGGAACACGCTCGAGGAGGAGGGCCACAAGTACGGATACTTCATCAATGGTTCCAAGTCCACTCTCCTGGTGAAACCACAGTTTGCCAAAACCGCGGAGGAAGTGTTCCATGGACTAACATCGCGATCATGCAAGATGGTTGCCGTCACCTGGGTGCGGGACTGGGCACTGCTACTTTCTGCAAGCAGTTTGTTGCAGCGAAGGTCATGGAATGGGTGAAGGAACTGAAAGTCCTCACCAGGTACGCCCAATCGCAACCACAAGCAGCGTACACGGCGTTCACGCAAGGGCTGAAGGGCAAGTGGACATTCCTCGCTCGCACCATGCCAGAAGCGACGGAGAATTTCCAGCCACTGGAGGAGATTATCCACGGCGAGTTTATCCCGGCGCTCACAGGACACCCCGCTCCTGATCAGACCACCCGCACTCTCCTCGCTCTGCCTTGTCGCCTAGGGGGCATGGGTCTAATCAACCCGTGCGATCTCGCCAGCCAGTTGGATGACTCCAGGACCATCACGCAGCCATTGGTGGAGCGGATCATCGTGCAAAACACGGACCTAGGTGATGTTCACCACACCATGAAGGCAGAGAAGGCGAAGGTGCGCAGGATCCACTCCGTAAGGGAGAAGGAGACCCTAGTCGCTGTGGAAGAGAGCATCGCTTCGAACTTAAAGCGGTCCAGGGAGCTGGCGGCGGAGAAGGGTGCCTCGTCGTGGCTGACATGCAAACCACTGAAGATGTTTGGCTTCACGCTATCGAAGGGCGCATTTCACGATGCGGTTTCATTGCGATATGGCTGGCCTCTGAAGCGTTTGCCCTCTGCTTGCAGCTGTGGTAAATCATTCACCGTGGCCCATGCTCTCTCCTGCTCAACCGGCGGCTACCCTAGCCTCCGCCACAACGAGGTACGCGACCTCACAGCATCCATCATGAAGGAAGTTGCGCACCAAGTTGTGGTGGAACCGCTGCTAGAGCCGCTGACAGGTGAGAGGATGACGCTACGGTCAGCTTCAACTGAAGACAACGCCCGCCTAGACATCGGTGCCAGTGGAGTCTGGGGAGGTCGGTACGAGCGTTCGTACTTTGATGTCCGGGTTTTCAACCCCCACGCCCCCACCAACGCCAAGTTTGCCTTGCCCGCTGTGTACAAGCGACATGAGCAGGAGAAGCGTCGCCGCTACGAGGAACGGATCACCAACGTCGAGCACGCCTCCTTCTCACCAGTTGTCTTGTCCTGCACTGGAGGGTATGGCAAAGCTGCGACAGCACTCTATGCTCGGCTGGCATCGATGCTCGCCGACAAGAAGCAGGAGCCGTACGCTGCCACAATGTCCTACATCCGATGTAAGCTCAACTTGGCCCTCATCCGTGCGGCTGTTGCCAGTCTGCGAGGCCATCGGCACCGCGTGCCCTCAGATGCAAATGACTCGGCCCGATTTGCGGTTGCCATGAGCAGCATCGGTTAAAGCTCCCTCCCGAGGCTCCGTACTAGACTGTTTTCACAGCCATTTTTGCTCTCAGCCTTTTTTTGCTCTCTCGACTGTTTTCACAGCCATTAATTTTTTGCTCTCTCGACTGTCTTCACAGCCATTTTTTGCTCGTTTTTCTGCCGGTGCTGTTGAGGTTGCACTCGTAATTGTGTTTATTTTGCCCGTATAAGAGGCTTGGCAGTTGAAAAAATATATATATATATATATATATATAAGCGGTCGATATTGCGGCGATATGGGTAATATAGGACCAGTCAAGGATCAAGAGAATTAGTGGAGGTCGATATAGAAGAGTGATAAACCTCCTTAGTGGTGTATATTGAGCAGTGTATATGGAAATGTATAAACTTCATGGGAGATCTGGTATATGAGTGTGGGTGTATATGGAGTGAGGTATAAGGGGGTTATATACTCTTGCTACCACTATCCGCACTTCATCTGGAGGTTAAAGCCGTGTTCACAACTGGCGCGTGTACGCGTGCAACCACGCGTTTGTGCGTATTTTTGCTGGCTTTTGGGGCGCCATGCGCATGGAAACGCGCCGATACGGAAATTCCAATATGTTGGAAGTTTCAGCGCGTATCAGGCGCGTACCAGCGTACATGCCAGTCACTTTCACTGGCGGGGTCAAAAAAATGAGTCCTTGAAGGTGTCGCACCCGCTAAATACGACTCGGATTGCTGTTTTTTGTGAAAGGCTGAGCGCGCGTTTGGGCACGCATGAACCGCAAGCGTACCGCGTCCAAGCGCCAGTTGTGAACACAGCTTAGACATAATATCCGATTGCGAACAGAATAATATGATAAAACCTACTCTATATTTTAAAACCTGTTGTTAACTGTACACGTTTTAGAAAGTGTCCGCTCCGAACGTGGGAGGTTGCGCTTCCTGCCCACTGACGTTTACTAACTCCACTATGCCGTCCAGCATGGGCAGCGCTGGTGAAGAGTGTTTGTGTACACCCTCGTCACGAGTAGAAACAGCCATGGCACCCTTATGAACTTATAACAAGTTATACAACCGTTCTATAATAACAATTACTATAATTTTAACTCGGATGGTGCTCTTCTTCGTCGTGCTTTCCTTCCCCTCTTGGACCTTTTCGAACCTGAGCCTTCCAAGCTGGAAGGTTGTTGGTTTGCGCCTCGGAGAAGTGTTGGAGCTAGGTGTCAGGTGGCCGAATGTCTCAGTACTCCTTGTCAGTGTTGTGCCATTTTGTCGCACTCCCTGACTGTATAAGATGATCTGATCTGGTTACGTTGGTGGATAGTTAGTCATAACTCGTAACATTTTTTGCTCCTTTTTTCACCATAATTACTATAATTGTAATCTTTTAACAGTTTTATATCAGATTCTGGCAACTCAACCGCATACGTTATAATTATCTGGCAAACCATTGACCATGATGCTATATTAGGAGACAATAATAATGGGTTGTTTCCTAATGAGACCAATTTTATGACGCTCCATGTTTTTGTTTTTGTTTTTACAAGATAACCACACACCATCATGGTGCAAACGCCGGCAAAAACGCACAGAGATGCACATAGCGATGGCAGTCGAAGCAGTGGAGGCGGGGCAAGAGCAGCTAAACCGACCAGGGGTCTCGGTTTCAGCACTGCTCATTCGTGTTACTGAAGTATGAACTTTCATCGTTGGTTTGTAGAGCCCCATTCTCTCAGAGATATCTACATCTTCTCTGTTTCAATGTCCAGCATAAGCGAACGTGTGGATCAAGCATAACTGCTTGGTTGACGCTGCTGCGGGAATGTGTATAACAAAAATAATAATAAGTCCACCATGCTCCGGAATATATGCGGACAGTGGTGGCGGGGCCCTGCTGCTCAGCCGACCTTCGGGTCTCGGCGTCTGCCTAAGAAGAGCTCGAGCAGCATCCAGGCAAGTGATCATCGCTAGTGTGAGTTTCAAAAAAACAAAAAACAATTACTGTAAAGGCAGTCGGACTTTAAGCGCCTGTGTCTACATATGCATGTATCCTAAAATATGTCAAACACGTTTAAAACGTGCTAGCTAAATAATGTGCATCATCCTGGGAGTATTTCCTAGTCATCGTACGACATGCAAGTGCGTGAGCTTATAGATTCATTCGCCGTGTCAACTGGTTTCTGTCACATTCTCAGGGTTATATGCCTCCATCAAGTCTCCTGGGGCCGAGTACAATTGGTTGTTAAATGCCCCAGCCACGTCCCCTGGCGCCTGATAAAGATCACTGTCATTGATCGTAGGAGAAACAACACAAGACTTGTCTGCACCCAATTCCGAGAAAGCATCCCCCAGACTATGGAATGACACCTGCTTCTCGACCTGCTTTCCTTCCCGGTCAGGGCACAACTCAACATACAGCATGGGCGATGTTTCACTCCGTTCTGCGACGTCTGATGAGCTGATCGTTCTATGCGGTACTTCCGATTCGTACTTCCTATCAGGTTGGTCATTGTCGTAGGTATCTTCACTATCCACAGCGCTATTTGTGTCAATGATCAGGGAGACAGAGGAGTTGGCAATCTTCCTTTGTTTTTGGCATTGTGGTAGTTCCGATTCGTACGTCCTATCATCTTGGTCATTGTCGTAAGTGTCTTCATTATCCACAATGCTTTTTGCATCTATGTTCAGAGCTCCAGAGGAGTTGGCCATCTTCCTTAATTTTTGGCATTGTGGTAGTTCCGAATCGTACGTCGTATCATCTTTGTCATTGTCGTAAGTGTTTTCACTATCCACAATGCTTTTTGTGTCGGTGATCAAGGCGATAGAGGGGTTGCCAACCTTCCATTGATTTTGGTATCGATTGGCGTCTTCGTTGGGTCGACGAACGGTGATGGTGGCTGGTAAGTTGTCATTATTTGATGAGCTGCGAGCCCAAGTAATGAGGATGAGTAACAGAATCAAACTCAGCACTGAGACCACTATAATCATGGCTTGACTACTTGCTTGTCCAAGCCAGGTAGTCTCTTTCCCCGCACTAGTTGTTGGATTACCTAATCCGTTGCACAGCAAGAAACCAGAATGCAAATAGAACACACATAAGCGTGCACCCGCGTACACACACACAGACACAACCACACACGTTCACACACAGACACACACACAGATACACACACAGGCACATACACACACGCATGCACACACACGCATGCACGCACGCACGCGCGCGCGCGCACACACACACACACCATTGGACGCCCATCGCCGGAGGCGATGATAGCGATGCTAAAGCAGAAGCCATAGCAGCTTGTGCTGGGATTGCACCATTCAACAGCTTGCAAGGCTGAAGAATTGACCACCACTATTCAGCCTGGTCTACACCACACAGCTATGAAGTGGCTTTTCTGGCCAGTGAATCCCTACTTTTTGGTCTTTTTCATGTTTTCTTTTTTTTCACGCACACATCACACCACATACTCCGGCATGCACTGGCTGCTGGGTACCACCCAGTAGAATGAAAGAAAAGCCAGGAAGAGTCTGAGAAAGAGAAGAAAGACGTGTGTGTCCAAAATCGTCGGGAATCGAACCAGCAACCTATCGATTGGAAATTGCTGCGCATTCAATTCGTGGATATGATCGGCTGGTTCTTAAAAATCATTTCGATCATGTAGATTCTTTCCTTGTTATCCTGAAGTTTTTCAAACTTCTGTAATCATTAATATTTTTGTGATCAGTGTCGGTAAAAATCTAACATTAGATTTCCCACCTACCAGTACAATGTGGAGTCTCTGACCATTGTCCATTCGAGAGACAGATAATGGAGCTACTACCGTTGATTTGGTATCCAATTTTGCATTCAACTTTGACAACATTACCAGTTCTTGTGTTTGTTGCTGGAGTAATTCCGTTCTCGAAATGCAGGACTGGGCATATTTGTAGAGCTAAACACAAAGAACAACAGATCGTCGATAGAGGTCGGGTGTGTTCATGGAAGTCATACAGGAACAACGAGGGAGTTTGAAAGCTCAGGGCCCTTGCTAGCCACCTGACCGGAAACGGCTGCAAAGTTTCAAAGTGTCTGTCTTCCGGCACCTCCGTGCTCAGCAATGGCACTGGGCCACTGACACTCTGTAATATGTATGCACATCTGCCTACACACTGCTGCATATTGCCATTCGCCTCTTGCCCCGCTTACCCGTTTTTCTGGATCTGAATGTGCACAACTTACGCATTATATAATTATACTATATTTAGTTCCCTCCCCCTCTCTTGCTCCCCAACCCTCCCCGCTCACTCTCTCTCTCTCTCTCTCTCTCTCTTTCTCTTTCTCTCTCTGTCTCTCTCTCTCTCTCTCTTTGTGTGTGTGTTTGTGTGTGTGTGTGTGTGTGTGTGTCTCTCTCTCTCTTTCTCTCTCTCTCTCTCTCTCTCTCTCTTCCTCTTTCTCTCTCTTTCTCTCTCTCTCTCTCTCTCTCTCTCTCTCTCTCTCTCTCTCTCTCTCTCTCTCTCTCTCTCTCTTCTATTGGCGCGCCTGGTTGTGATGAAGCCGAGACCCAAGGTCGGCAGAGCATCCCAGACCATGCCACCACTCCCCTTATTCATGGCTCACACATGACGGGTTTACGTGGCTCTAGAATAAAAATGCTTTTTTGCCTAGATCATCACCCATGTTATTCTAAAAGAGGGAAAGGTTCTTGCAATACAATGATAAAATTAATAATCGCCCGCCCTCCCCATTTTTCTGAAAAGCAGGATGATCATGAAGCACATGCATTCCCTGGCTTGGCCTACCATGGGATTCGAACGGCACTATCGCCCTGCATGCAATCACCCGATACACTTCGCATACATACACATTCTTCAAAGTTGCTTCAGGTTATGATCTAGCAGTTGAAAGCATTATTTGAATAAGGTGGCCAGCTGTCCTTTACAATGATACAAAAAATCCACCTGCCCTACTCACTTTTTCTGAAAAAAAAAAAGGACGATCATAAAGTACATGTACATGTATATTATTTTGCTTGGCCTACCATGCGATTCGAACCCGCACTATCGCCCTGCATGCATTCCCCTGATACTCTTCGCATACATACACATTCTTCCAAGTTGCTTCGCATTATGATCTTCCAGTTGAAACCCCTGTTTGAATAAGGTGACCGGCCGTCATCAGGCACAAACAAACGAATACCGAAATGTAAAGCGGCGTAGACCCTGGCTAGTGCCAGAAAATACTGAAGTAGCATCTTTTGCATAGCTACGTAAATAACATGTATTACAGTAGTGCTAACTGGGAAGCTATACTCATATTTCAATTGACTTCATGTACCAGAAGTAGGCTGTAAGGCAAGCTACTGAAGTTGCTGAAACCTGAGACCTGTTGAGAATATACGTTCACAACTGAATCAAACAAGAAGGGGTGGTGGTGGTGGTGGGGGGGGGGGGGGGGGTAAGGGATGTGGCTTACTGTTGATTGTTTCAATGCCAAGCAGCACTCACACGCACACCTACTGTGCACTACATGACACTGACTTTGTACTACATGACACTGACTTTGCACTACATGACACTGACTTTGCACTACATGACACTGACTTTGCACTACATGACACTGACTTTGTACTACATGACACTGAATTTGCACTACATGACACTGACTTTGCACTACATGACACTGACTTTGCACTGCATGACACTGACTTTGCACTACATGACACTGACTTTGCACTACATAACACTTACGTTGGCAAGTTGGTTGAGGTGCAGACCAAAATCCTTGCAGAAGACATGTAATTGTCGCGACACCAACCAATTTGAATCCTTCATTACAAGTGAAGTTTCGAATTGCGTTGAAACTGTCATCTCCGGGAGACACCGAACCATTTCTTGGATGTGTCAAAAATGAACAAGAGACTCCTGAAAGGGTTTGACAGATAAAAAATACAACATATACGACGAGTTTCATCTCGAAGACAGCAAACCAAGCCTTGGTTCACCCCGCATCTGCATCACTTTCATCGCCAGAAGCAGCGCCTTTTCCGTGCCGCCAAGCGCCACCAAACATTAGCATACTGGTTAACCTACAAGGCCCAGAGGAATGCATATCAGAACCAGTTAAGAAATGCCAAGACCCTGTACTTCAAACGCCTCAGTGAGAATATTCACGATGAGCAAGATGCCCACCTTTGGTGGAAGAAAGCCAAGACACTTGCCAACATCTCCTGTAAGAAAGATAAAGTTCCTGACCTAACGTGTGAGGGCTACACGGCACAGAGCGAACCAGAGAAAGCAGAAATGCTCGCGAAGGTATTTGAGCGCCAGTGCACTCCTGCTCACGGTACAGGTCCAATACCAGCACCAGCCGACGGCTGTCCGAATGAATTATTCTCTCTGCCAGTCTTGGCCGAATCCTCAGTGTACCGGGTGCTCCGAAGGCTCCCGCAGCATAAGGAAAAAGGCGGGAACATCTCAAACAGGATCCTCCGAGAGATCGCACCATGTATAACGTCCTCTGTTACCAACCTGTTTAACGCTAGCCTCACCTTAGGTGAGTTTCCTAGTGCCTGGAAGCTGGGAACAGTAATCCCCATATTTAAAAATAAAGGTAACCCGTGTGATCTCTCCAACTACCGCCCTATAACCCTACTCCCAGCTATTGCGAAAGCACTAGACAAGATTGTCGCCACCAAATTCGGTCACTATCTCGAGGTCAACAACATCATTGTCCCGGAACAGTTCGGCTTTGTCCGTGATCGCTCCACAGTTGACCAGCTGATACAGATCACTACTAAGATCGCTTCGACCATGGATAAACGCATCCCTTACGATGCTGCATTTCTCGATTTTGCGAAGGCCTTCGATAAAGTGCCGCATGACGTGCTTCTCCAGCAACTCGGGACTATCTGCGATGCTCCGGCTACGAGTTGGTTTAAGAACTACCTCGATACGCGTACATTCCGCGTCCGCGTCCAACACCATTTGTCCTCCCCACGTCCCGTCAAGTCTGGAGTACCCCAGGGTTCCCACCTCGGGCCATTGCTTTTCCTGGTACATATCAACAGCCTACCCAGTGCCTCGAAACGCAACCAGCACGCTGATGTTTACCTGTTCGCGGATGATACCGCCGTCGGCCAAGCACGAACCAAAGGTACCAGCCCAATGGAGACTGCCCTGCAGGACACATTTGCCTGGGCCGACCGAGTAGGCAGAAACTTCAACCCATCGAAAACCGTTGTTATCTCATTTGCTGAGGAAGGAGCTGCAGAGACCATCCGCGGTATCCAGCCGTCAACCAGTCACCGTCACCTGGGAGTGTTGTTGAGTGAAACGCTTAGCTTCCAGGAGCATATTGAACAGACAATAAGCAAGTTTAGACAGCGCTGCGTTCTTCTGTGCCATATGGCTGACCGTTTAACAGGAGACATCGTCAGGAATCTGTACCTTACGTATGTCCGCCCCACAGCAGAATACGCCGCCCCAGTATGGGAGTCCTCCCTCTCTGCTGCACAGCGGCTCACCCTTGAACGGCTGCAAGCCAGAGTAGCTCGCACAGTCATGCGGCTTGAGAGATGCCCTTGCCCATCAGACGAGCCTAAGTCATCATTGTTTAAACAGCTGGGGTGGCCAAGTCTATCCTGGCGCAGGAAGATCGCCTGCCTTATGGAATTCTTCCATTTGGTCACCACCCAACCAGAACTTTTTGAAGCAGCGGGATACTGCCCCACGCGTAGTCGCCGCCGCCAACTCGCATTTACTCTGCCACGGGTTGGGAAACACGCCGGGAGGTCATTTCTCTTCCGCACCGCTACAGCCTGGAATGCCTTGCCTGCAGACATGAGAGCCACAGCCTCGCAGTCCCTGTTTCACAGTCACATTTGCACGCACTTCTCTGACACCAAACACAATGCCACTCCTCACTGACATGCCTCTGCCCTCCTTCTTTGAGCGTTGCGCTTATTCTTATGAATTTTTGTGTTTCTGTTTCGGTACATTTCGTATTTCAAGGCATACCCCGAGGCTATAGGTATCATTGAGTAAAGGACCATTCTGGAACATTCAGCATAATTGTATTTCTCTTGCTAGGCTGTTCATTACGAATCATTAGCCCTCCACTGTCTGCTATCTCAACCCTACAGCCTCCCATTATAATGGAACTCCCTTCAATTTAGACGTCTTTGGGAAATCCTCAAATATATAATAGTGTAGGGTCAAGAAACAGCAATTGAGAGAGTTTTCCTTGTAATTGCACTGTACAGGAACCTTCTGCTGAGATTTCAATGCTTGATCTGCACATCCACAAACGTCACGGACTCGCGCTGCTATTTCTCCTTCTTTCTTGCCATTGGCTTCACTTCAAAGCCTAATTAGCGGTGACTTTTAGCTTGTGCCAGGATCAAAATTTCACCCTCCATCCCTCCCATTTTATTCTCTTGCTACTGGTACTAGGGAACATTTAGCTCTATCGCTCCTAACTGGTCATTTGCTTTGCTAGTTGCGGCTCATCATAAGCCAGTTGCGGCTCTTCACGAGCCAGTTGTTGCCAAATGCATTGGATTTGCTTTTGCAACCCCATTGTGGCACCATGTGGGTTTATTGCGGCTCCTCATTTGACTGCAGTACGCATTTGACTACAGGAAGTAGTAATTTTACAGCCCCCTGCTTGAGACTGAGCTGTTTACTATAAGATTCAAATTACTTCGAAAAAGTCATTTCGCATTGCTAAACCTCACAAATTTTCTTTTTCGAAATAGATTTTCGTGAAACATCACCACCACCACCAAACGTGCGGATTTTCGCATTGCTGAACGTCCTTAATGAGAAAGAAAAAGAAATAGAGAGTGGAAGAGATAGAAAGAGATAACAGAGAGAGAGAGTTAGGAGAGTTGGGAGTAAGGATTTGGAGGAGGGGTAGACTGTAACTTGATCGATTTCATTTCAGCTTACGAATGCATGATGGAAGAGAATCCGCGGTAGGCCAGTGTCCATTAGTGCCACAGGTGATTGCTGCTGCCCCTGTTCGCTGATATCCTGGAAGGCACGATATGTTAGCTGTACCTCCAATTGTAAAACTAGAAGGCACTGTGCTGATGTAACCATTAGCAATCGACGGCAGAACAGCTGGACATGTGATGACTGTTAGGAGTGTAGCAGAAACAAATCACACACACACACACACACACACACACACACACACACACACACACACACACACACACACACACACACGCGCGCGCGCACGCACGCACGCACGCATGCACGCACACACACACGCACGTAACTTAGATTGAAACTGTGCACGGACATGTACCGGTATATCAATTGAGTTGCTGAAGTCTGACACCCGCTGAGAATATCCATTCACATAAAAATCCAAGTCGAAAGGGTGGAGGGGGGTTGATATGGTTAACTGTTGACATTTTCAATGTGAAGTAGCACACTTTCCGCAGCAGTGTCGGCTGTCGCCAGGCTACTCGATGCCAAAGGGCTTATCCTCAACACCCGAAAGACGCAAGTGCTTGCAATCAAAGCTGGACGGCAGGCACTCCTCGACCTCCACATTACTTGCACTGGCACGCCTCTTGCCCAGACCAGTGCGGCTCGCTACCTCGGAGTCACTTTGGACGAAAATCTTCGTTGGTCACCGCAAGTCACCTCTATCGTCCGACGCACGGCTATGAAGCTGCGATCCTCCGCCAGATCCGGCACTGCCTGACAATGCGGCAGGCGACGCTGTATTACTCTGCCCTTGCCATACCCCACAATCTACTGTAAAAGCAGAAATTTTCCGTGGTGTAATATTTTTGGTATTCTCCAAAATCGGCGGTTCAGTAGGGGAACTTTTCGGTAAAACCCGTTTTCCAGGTAAGTGTGCTAGTACTACATGTATACAGTACCGGTTGTACCGAAATTTTCGGTGCGTTTTATTTTCGGTAGAAATTGTCGGCACCGAAGT